CTAAATCGAGATGATGACACTTTAATCCACCCACGTCGAAATATAAAATAGACCAACGAAAAAGTCAAGATAAATAATTAGGCGATACAAGACGATGGAATTGTCACTGCTACGGTTCGCTTGAAAACGTTAGGCGGATGTAGCGAATTTATAAGTCCATGACTTTTTCTCACACACGCGCATAAGTGTGTACACAAGTATACAAAGAGATATTTAAGTGGCGCACGATATACAGAAAGGAAAAATGGCTAATGAAAAAAATTGTATTGTTCTATTGCACAGTTGCTTGGAAATATTCTATTATAATCAAAGTAATCCAATTATTTTCTATAAAATTTTTTATGAACATTATAGTCAAACTATATATATATATATATATATATATATATATATATTCTTTTTTTTTTATTAAATTATTATTAATAAGCTTTTATAATTAATTCGAGTTATCTTTATGATTGTATTGTAGTTTAGTAAATTTCAGTACGCCGTTAATTAATATTAAACTATTATTACTTTATACAATACAATTATGTACATAAAGAATGATAAAAATAATTTGGATAATTGTAGTATTAAATTAAACAATGCAATAACAATATAGTGATCATCTTGCATATTTCTATTCAATATTATTTTTCGATATAACGAACGTCAATTTTATAACAGAAATAACACAAAGTACTTGGGCATGCAGACATATTGTATATTGTACGCATGCGTGCATACACACGTGCGCATACAAGTGTGAGTGTACGTATAATCGTGAGCGCGCGTCTTTGTACGTATATGGCTGTGATGTATGTATGTATATTTATAGAAAGATAGAGCGAGAGAGAGAGAGAGAGAGAGAGAGAGAGAGATAGGAGCTTTTAAAAAAAAAAATACTACGAAAATTATATAGCAACATATCAGAAACAGAATTCATTAAATACTTGAATAACCAACTAAAATTATTCTATATTTTAACAAATTATGTTTTTATATAATATCAATTTTTGTATATTATCTTTAAAAAATTATCTACTTACATATATACCAGGAAATTACAACCATCACAAATACAAGGTCGTTTATTTGTAATTTTAATAAAATACCTCTTTAAAAGTAAATAATTTGATCAAAACTTTGACTAATTAATTACAATATTCATATTATTATATTACCATAAATATTGGGCAACGATGCTTATTATATATTTTTATTACTAATGGAATAATTTCGATGTATTTTCTCATTTAAATATTGCCTAATAATATTTTTATAATATATTCAATGATAATATAATTTAAAACGTTCTTCTTAACTCATTCTTATCATATAACATAATTAACATAGTAAGAAGGAGTGAATGGATTCACTCCTAGACAGTAAATAAATTGATATGAAATAATTATTATATAACGGTTATGTTCAAGCAATATTATAATTTATTTCCTTAAAATATCCATCGAAAACGAATATCAAAATTTAACGAAAAATTGGTTACTTATGTGCTAATTAATGATCACTCTCGATGTTCAAAAAAGTGACAATCTCAAATGCTTATAGCAATATTTTATGTATAAAATAATAATAATAATAATAACGTTTATAAGATTTCTATGAGAGAGAGAATAAAAACATAACCAGAATATAAATTTTATAATAATTAAACGTAAAGACATATATTTATCCCAAATGCATTATATATCTCCTCTCCCTCGATCTCCTTTTTTTCTTTTCTTTTTTCTTCCTTAATTCGTCATAATGTTTTAATATTATAAATAAAATTGTACCTAAGAAAATACAAAGTATCTTAACCATTGAAGTATCTTATAGAAATCTTTTAATCGACGTAATCGTCAACTATTATTAATGGATTTGGACATAAGAAATTGTTGCAAGTTCGAGAGTACGGCTTGTTTATAAAGAAAATTAATCATTTGTGGATTTTTCTCGCTCGCAACTAAATATAAACCACCGACTACTCACATTACGTACACATTATCGTTTATAGATATGCGATAACTAATAGTTTGAAGAATGCTTAACCATTTGCACATACATATAAAGCTGACGAGACATGTATTTGTAAAAGCCATTGTAATAATATTATAACCAATGTAATATTGATACGCATAATGCTGGTCAATATTGTTAGGTGGGGAATAAACTATTTTCTCTTTTCTTCTTTTTTTATCGATGCTAAGAAAATAAGCAATTGGAGATTTACTTTCGTAGTATCAGGTATTGTTGGTCTATCCATCCATGTCTCTCAAAAAGCATTAAACTATTGTTCTCGGCTCACCCTATTCCATGTAAATAATGTGTGTCGAATAACATTGGCTACATTGGGAAGCAAGAAAGGGAAATTAAATTCATTAACAATTAATGAACGCAAATACAGCTAATTGATTGATTAATTAGATGATTAGTCGACTAATTAATTGATCGACTGCTTATTTGTTAATGGCGTAATTAATATGCTACTCGGCGCATAAAGCACACACATCGCGATAAGCGAAAAATTTACAGAGTCGCGGAATATCGCGATTGTCCACATCAAAAAGTAACTTTAAATACAAAAGAAAGTGCATGAACTATAAAGCTTGTCAGATAATGCAACAATAAAGTAGAAGTTATACAGTTGCAGTGAGTGCCAGATAGTCACACGTAAGAAAAGCTTATGAATAACCGAAGCGAGGGCGCAAAAGGAAGTAATTGTACAGGATCCGGTGAAATTTCAATTTATATATTAATTATTAATTACTCGGCAAGTGCACTTTGTTGTGATGGTATGCGTTAACCTTGAGATTGTTCGTAAGTGACGGATACGTCGTTGCTTGCTCGAGGCAATTAAATATCCCGAACCTCGGGGACGTCTCGACAAGAATTTTCATAAGATAAGCGTCGGTCAATGAGGGCGATACGGGGCCAAATTTTCCTTATAACGCGTAATTAAATTATTTATCGGCATAGACACGGCCGACCTCGGACAGGGCCGAGAACGTATTCCAGAAAAACTCGACGGCACCACACTGACACACGCCGTGACTGTCGAAACAGTCATCGAACGGCTGAAGGATGAATGACTCAAAGCCTCAGTCAGGCCCTTTACACGCGCGCGGCCGCGCGATTGTGTGCGCAAGCGCAACCTCTTACACAGGCGATAAGATCCCCGAGACGGCAACAACTGCTCCTCCTCTGTCCTTCTCCTCCACGAAAACTCGACCGGGCCAATATAATTTACAAGCCGAGATCGGCTCTCGGGGGTGCGAACCTCATCACCATCGCAGCGGCATCCACCAGCCGATTCACGACTCTGAAAATAATTTTCGTGAACCGTGACCGATAAGATATCGGCTGCTAGCCGCTGTATATCTCGAGGCTTACGTAACTTTCCGCGATATAACCCCGGGCGCGGGTAACACTAACGGCCAATTTTCCTATCATCGTCAATTGTTACCTCCGTTCGCGCCTCCGTGCCACGTGTAGTCTCTGGGAAAAGCGCCAAGAGGTCGCACACGTTTTCGGCGCCAGGCAATGTTGGAGCAGCGGTGGAGGAGAGTCGGAGTGCAGCGATTTCTTTTACCTCTTCTGAGATCGAAGATGTTAATTGGGTGTCTGGGTGTAGAAAAGCGACGACCCGCTTCGCCTGCGAATGTACGCACTTTAGAAAGTTTGTGGCGGTGGCGCAACTTTGACCTCGTCATCCAAATCAAATCATCGCTGCCAATATTATTTGTTATTTATTGGGATCTGTTGGGTGGGCATAATTTTTTGGGGGGGGGGGGGTATAAGAGGCCACGTGCCAAATGTATCGGGACAATTTTGGGGAACTTTCAAAATATGTGCAAATCTCGAGCAACTGCTGCATTTGCATGAAATGAGTAATAATATTCGGCTTGCCTTCGTTCGTTCAATTTCCCCGTCGCGATTATAATTAATGCTCACGATATGCTTATTTGATTGGAATGCTCATGGGATATTGGTATCGAGGCAATCGATATTTATTTTTACTATAGTTTTAAAACATGTACCATTAAATTCTTCGATGTTTAGTCATACGCATTTAAATTTTCAATCAAGCTCGCGTAGGTGTACTTAAATTACCAACGCGTGCGAACATGTGCTCGTATACATGTACGAGCATCTATGGACGCATGTGTGCGTATAGATACAGGCATATTTACCGAGTGGCCAATTTCAGCGTGAATACCGCTCAAGTAATTTTAATAAATTCGTATTTATAAGCCGAATTGATTTGTTTCCATCATGGAAAAATTATTTATTTGCCCTCATAGGAGGTAGGAAAAGCATTGTTCTGCCTACGAGTACACAACAACATAAATAATGAAATCGTTCCACCTACGGGCATTACGTTACACAAATGATTTTACGTGTTTGCTTAACGACGCACACAATAATACACAAAATCTCTTTACTACTCTTTACAGCATGCGCACACACACATAGAGAGACAGATAGAGCGAAGAAGAGAGGGAGAGGAGGAGAGAGGAAGAGAGGAGAGATGAAGAGAGGAGAGATGAAGAGAGGGAGAGAGAGAGAGAGAGAAAGAGATAAAGAGAGAGAGAGAGTGTAGAGAGACAAATTATGGTATGGTATGGCATGTTATGGCATAAAGAGCATATACTAATTGAATGAGGAGAGCGAGTAAATGAGCGAGCGAGGAGTACGAACTAATAAGCCTATAAGCCTTAAATCAGCGAGCGAGCGTGCGAGCATGTGTACGTGCATAAGTGCGTGCGTGTTTGTAAAGATACGCGAGTGTATATTATTATTATTGTTGTAGTTGTTGTTGTTGTGATAAAAGTTAACTTGTAGGAAGACGTTTGCATGGGCGTTGGAAGCGGCAAGGAGGTAATGCTTGGCATTAGTAGTAGGCAC